CAAGCGACCTTATCCTACTCCAGCAACCATTGATTCCTCCAAAAGGCCTGGGAAGCATAGTTTGCTAAGGGTGCTGAGAGCTGATAGGAGACTCCACACAGAGGGACAGTTCCCAGCACCTTTAACAAGCTGCAGTCCCCATAATTCTTTGCAGGAAGCAGGGCTTTTTTCTAGCCAGAGTTCACCAGAGCTCAGCTCCAGCACCTCTCAGGTTGGCACTATTGCCATCCTAAGTGAACAAGGGAGAAGTTCGTGGTGACCTCAGGGACCTCTTTTTAGAAAAACAGCACTGGGGAAGCCACGACAACTAAAGTGGGATGAGAGCCCTTTAAATGCATGGTGTAGATATGACAATGACAAAGGTCTGTATCGTTAAAGCTATGGTTTTCCCAGTAGTGATGTATGGAAGTGAGAGCTGGACCATAAAGAAGGCTGATCGCCAAAGAATTGATGCTTTTGAATTATGGTGCTGGAGGAGACTCTTGAGAGTCCCATGGACTGCAAGGAGATCAAACCTCTCCATTCTGAAGGAAATCAGCCCTGAGTGCTCACTGGAAGGACAGATCCTGAAGCTGAGACTCTAATACTTTGACCACCTCATGAGAAGAGAAGACTCCCTGGAAAAGACCCTGATGTTGGGAAAGATGGAGGGCACAAGGAGAAGAGGATGACAGAAGATGAGATGGTTGGACGGTGTTCTCGAGGCTACCAGCATGAGTTTGACCAAGCTGTGGGAGGCGGTGGAGGACAGGGGTACCTGGCGTGCTCTGGTCCATGGGGTCACGAAGAGTCGGACACGACTAAACAACTAAACAACAACAACAAAGATAGGAAGAACCAAGGTGCCCTAGAGAACTTTGTTTCTGGATAGTCTTGGTGCCCTCAAAGAATGCAGCAGCAACCCCCCCCCCTTTTTACAAAGAAATGGAAAGGCGGCCAATTTCAGGCAGACCCCAAATTTTGGATAGGCTTGGGTTCAGCTTGAAATGAGCACAGTAGTTGCGAACAGAAAAAGTGCATACTCCAATTTCTCACTTCAGCTGCTTCGCTCTGTGAAACAGATTGGCATCAGGCACCCACCCACCCAAACACACACTGTGGTGTTCTGCCACCTTGTGAATCTGAACTCAAGTTTTGTTATCATGGAGCTGTTTGTTCATAATTCAGCTTTTTTTCAGTTGAACTTACATTGCAGGCAACAGTGTTTATTTAACCAAATGTGTTTCAGGCAAGCTGGAAGAGCATATGTTGAAAAATGGAAAGGGCAGTAAATATCCCTAAATCATATTCCTGGCAATATGATATTTGGCTGCATGTTACTACTATATTTTTTTATTTTAAAATTGGCTGTGAACACAAATTTTCTCTCTCTCTCTCTCTCTCTCTCTCTCTCTCACACACACACACACACACACACACACACACTTGGAAGTTTTCTGGATCTTCCCTTGGCTCACGGTTTCGGATTAGTGGTAATCCAGGCTAATTTTATGTATAGTTTATATGAAGTAATGGGCAGACTTCAGAAGGCTTGGGGGATTAATTTGAGTGCATATTAATATCCTGATTTTCTGAGGTTGTTTGCGTAAGATGCTCGCCAGGCTACTGCTTTCCGTGCTTCCTATTGGTTTGGCACAGAGAGGTTTCGTGCATGTTTACCATATTATGCTGAGAATGTTTACCCATAAGTAACTTTAAGTAAGTCTCACTCCATACTATTATTCTCACTGGGGAAGTTTGAAGCATTTGATCTTTTCCTTCATTGCAATCTTTTCATTGCATCTTTTCCTGCAGTGCAAATCCACACCTCCTGAACTAAGGTGGATCAGAACTGCAGTTTTTTTAAAAAAAAAAACCTCAGTGGGGCTTACATCTGAGTAGATATGCATAAAATTATAGAATTGTAGAGTTGGAAGGGACCCAAGGGGTCGTCTAGTCCACCCCTGCAATTGCACAGTTAATTACTCAGCAGCTTTCACACTTCCCAAATCTTACAGTGCAGTAAAGGTAAAGGACCCCTGGCAGTTAAGTCCAGTCGCAAACGACTCTGGGGTTGGGGCGCTCATCTCGCTTTACTGGCCGAGGGAGCCAATGTTTGTCCGCAGACTGTTTTTCCAGGTCATGTGGCCAGCATGACTAAGCCGCTTCTGGTGAAACCAGAGCAGCGCACGGAAACGCCATTTACCTTCCTGCCGCAGCAGTACCTATTCATCTACTTGCACTTTGATGTGCTTTCAAACTGCTAGGTTGGCAGGAGTTGGGACTGAGCAACGGGAGCTCACCCCATCACAAGGATTCGAGCCACTGACCTTCTGATTGGCAAGCCCTAGGCTCAGTGGTTTAGACCACAGCACCACCATACATTATTTGGAAAGGAAACACATTTAGAAACTTTCAAGAGAAATTTTGAGAGAAGAATAGCCTTAGAAAAATGTGTTCAAGTATGATTTCCTTTCTTGTTGTTGCTGCTTTGATGCAGGATAAAACAGACTTGAGAGTAGGGATATCAAAGAATTCAGACAAAAGTGGTAATAATAGCAGAAATCACTGCTGTTCACTTATTTGTCCATTTCTGGAAAGGAAATCAAGCTCTTTTTCTTGTTTGTCAACCAGCAAACAATCGACCCATTTAAATTGTGTTTCCTTTCCATTGAAATAATTTTGGCATTAATTACATTTAATTAATCAATTGTGCAATTGATAACATAAATTATGTTAAATAGGGGACAGTGAGACAAATAATATAGTGCTTGGTGGAAACTGAACTGCAGCAGAACAGAAACAGTGCTAATTGTGTAGAAGACAGGGCAGAGCAGGTCAATGGCCCATCTAGTCCAACCTGCTGTTTTCACAGAAGCCAACCAGATGCCTATGAAAAACCAGGAAGTGGGACTTGACACCACTCTCCCCACTTGTGATTCCCAGCAACTGGGTATGGCCATTGATTTCTGAGTAAATTTTTCCAGTTTTGCCGGTCTTCAGTTCAGCTATCTATCCACATGCCTGCATCAGTTTGCTTTTGAAAAACAACCCTCATGAAAATTTACCAGCATTTTAGTGCAAGTTTATTCTAAAGTGCACATTTCCCCCCATATATAATAAACTTTTGCATGTTATTTTAACCATTAGATGCATTCGAATGCACACTTTACACTAATGCATACATGTTTGTGCATGTTATAGAACAACACTGCAAAATTCAGAGAATTGCAGAAGAATTGCAGGAGATGACATGGATTTCATTTGTGCGCTTCAGAAAATTCAGATTAGGTTGGTTTGCCATTCGGTGCAAACTAGGGGATCATAAGAAGCAACAGTTGGAACAGGGTGGAACTGGAAAATGTTCGCAAACCGGAACACTTACTTCTAGGTTTGGGTTCCAAGTTGTTTGAGTACCAAGGCATTTGAGAACCAAGGTACCACTGTAGTTTAACCAAACGTTGCATTGTTGGTGAACTCAAGCATGTCCGGACATGGCTAGAACATCCAGGCACTTCTCCGAACGTAACAACAAGATGGCGACATGTGAAGGAAACATATTGCGCCATCTGCTGGCCGGAGGTGCTCTGTAGACACCCAAACATTTGAAGGCTCCAGATAAAATCAGAACGGTAGCTATTTCTTTTTAGGCACTTAGTTTTTGTTGTTGTTCATGATGCCATCTGGGCCGATCTGAGTGTCCTTCCGGCATCTCTGGGATGTCTCTGTGTCATCAGAGCAGTGCTGCTGCTGCTTTTTTACGCCGCTGCCCTTTCTTCTCCCCCTTCTCCCCACCCACCATCCCTTCACTTTGCCCATACAAGGTAAATATCAAGATTGCTTCAGTTATGGAGTCGCCTCTGCCCACTGCTCTCCCTCCCACCCAGAGCCACCAAAGCGAAGGTCTGGGATGGCAGCCAAATGCCACAGAGGACACTGGACTCATAAATCATCCCTTTTCCAACATCTGCAGGCCCCCCAAAGGCCTACCCTGATCTTCCCCTCCTCTCTCTCTCTCTCTCTCGCACACAACCCATTGCCCACTTTCTGGCTTTTTTTTATCCTATCCCTCTCAGACAAAACACCTATTGTCGCAAGTCTCAGTGAAGAAGACTCCCTTTCCTCCCCACCCCCCTCACAAAGCGACCTTCTGAAGCCGCCATCAAAGATGCCTGCATCACGGCAGGGAGCCTGTATCTCACTCTTTTTTCTTCCTCCCTCTCGTACGTAGTTTTTTAATTTTTTCTTTCCTTTCCCCCTCGCTTGTGGGGGTCAGGCCAGCGCTTTTCATTCCAGCTTCATATTCGCATAAAGACATCAAGTTTAAAAAGGGGGAGGGGGAGAGAAGGAGAACTCACCAGAAAGAATTATTAGGCATGGCTGTCAAACACTTTTATCGGAGGGTGGGTGGGTTGTGGGGGATTCAGTGCGCTCCATGTCCTTGCATTGTTTCCAGAGCCAATGTACTTTTGCCTCGGCCCGGTGTGCAAGCCCTCCTTAACGAATTCCGGAAGGAGGGAAACTAAATAAAATAATAAAAAATCCCTTCATGTTGATTGTCCGAAATGACTTGTCCAGTTTGCAAGTATGTTATTGTATGGAATGTTTAATGAAGAAGGGGACTTTATTTAAAGGGAAAAATGGCGTGTCAGTGCTCAATGGTGCTGAGCAATTTATGGAGCAGTTTAGTCAGTAGCGCATGAGGATCTTAATCTCAGAATTATGGGTTCGAGCCTCACATTGGGGAAAAGATTCCTGCATTGCAGGGGGTTGGACTAGATGGCCCTTGTGGTGCCTTCCTAGTCTAGTCTAGTCTAGTCTAGTTTAGTCTAGTCTAGTCTATGAAGCAAAAATATTCCCAGCTAACTATTGTTTTGCCCCCTCCTCTGAGGAGAAAACAGTGCATGAATTGCTGATGGAAACATCATCAAATATTATATTCTAAGCAAATGAGAGGATATCTCAGTCCACAGCTGAAACATCTGACATATTTTGAGGGGGAGGGGCTGCATTTCTTCAACTCTCACTGCTGAAATAAAGCCCAGCTCAGCAGCAAATCCATATTGGCATCCAGTATTTGTACAGCAACTATGGTAGCTCAGTAGTAGAGCATCTGGTTTGCATGCAGAAGGTTCCGGCTTTAACCACCAGCATCTCTGGGTAGGGTTGGCAGCATAGCTGTCAACTTTTCTTGCGAGGAATCCTATTCGGAATAAGGGAATTTCCCTTTTAAAAAGGGAAACATTGATAGCTATGGTTGGCAGCATCCCCTGCTTGTAATCTTGGAGAGCTGCCACTGGTCAGTGTGGACAATATTGAGCTAAATGGAGCAAGGACCTGCCTCAGTATAAGTCAGTTTCCCAGGATGCCACGATAGTCTTATCAGACAAGCAACTTCTCTGTTGGGGAAGGGCCATAGCTTTGTGGTAGAGGATCTGCTTTGCATGCAGAAAGTTCCAGGTTCAATCCTCAGCATCTCCAGGTAGGCTGGGGAGAGAACTCTGCCTGAAACTCTCAAGAGCCTCTGCCAGTCAGTGCAGACAACAGGGAGCTAGATGGGCCAAATATCTAACTTAAAATAATATTTTGCAATTGGCCTGAAAATCTAAATCAGGTTCTATGTTTTTGTTTGTTTGTTTGTAAGCTTTAGTAGGCCTCAAAGCTATGGCTTGGAATGACAGCTGAACTAAGATCCAGAGTTCTACCTTTTGCTCAGATGTTTTTTTTCCCCTCCCCTGAGGAAAAAGAAACCCATTGAAGAATTTCACCTCCCTCCCCCGAGGAAATTTGCCAAAAATGCCTCCTCCCCCAATTTCCCACCAATAATAATAGTAATAATTGAGTTTGTCAGTCACTTTCCACGCACATGCGTCAGGGTGATGTATAAAATGCAATACGGCACCTAAAACAGTGAAAAACAACACAGAAAATAACAACAGATTTAAAAATACAAAAATAAATAAATAAGCGCACCGATGGTAGAGACCCATTTCTTGAGCTGAAAAGTGCTGTCAAAACAAAAAGGGCTGTCTCCAATTGGTTTTTGGAAAGTGTAGATAAGTGGTGTCCATCGTACCTTGACCAGCGTGCTATTCCACAGTACAGGAGCAGCCACCACAAAGGTCCTGTACCCAGCACCTCTGGGCGGCTTCCAACATAATATTACAATGCAGTAATGCATCAAACATTAAAAGCTTCCCTAAACAGGGCTGCCTTCAGATGTCTTCTAAAAGTCTGGTAGTTGTTGTTCTCTTCGACATCTGGTGGGAGGGTGTTCCACAGGGCGGGCGCCACCACCGAGAAGGCCCTCTGCCTGGTTCCCTGTAACTTGGCTTCTCGCAGTGAGGGAACCACCAGAAGGCCATCAGCGCTGGACCTCAGTGTCCGGGTAGAACAATGGGGGTGGAGACGCTCCCCCTAAAGATAAAGGTAAAGGACCCGTGGATGGTTAAGTCCAGTCAAAGGCGACTATGGGGGTTGCGACACTCATCTCGCTTTCAGGCCAAGGGAGCTGGCATTTGTCCACAGACAGCTTTCCAGGTCATGTGGCCAGCATGACTAAGCCGCTTCTAGCGCACCGTGATGGAAGCCACAGCGCACGGAAACTCTGTTTACCTTCCTGCCGCAGCAGTACCTATTTATCTACTTGCACTGGCATGCTTTCAAACTGCTAGGTTGGCAGGAGCTGGGACAGAACAAAGGGAGCTCACCCCGTCATGGGAATTTGAACTGCCAACCTTCTGATCGGCAAGCCCAAGAGGCTCAGTGATTTAGACCACAGCGCCACCCGTGTCCCTACTCTGGAGACCTGCTGGCAGTCAGCACAGATAATGCTAGGTTAGACGGCCCCACAGTCTGACTCAGCAAAAGTAGCTTTCCATGTTCCCAACTGAAAGGGAAACAGTGATGCCAGGTGAGATTTTCAAAGTGGGATTTCCCTGCAATCTATCTGCTTGGGGAAGGTGGAACTTTGATCACACTGTAAGTGCCAGTTTCTATCCAAAAACCAAAGCATAAGAATGTTCAGTGCCATAGCAAGCTTTCCCCTTGGAGAATCTTGTGTTTTTTAAAAATAATATTAATTAAGTTTCCATTTTTTATTATCAAGATATAACCACATTTCCCCACAATATTTGTTCAAATAAAATATCAACCTCCTTCCCTCTCATCTCATGGTTACCTTAGTTCTTTTTTATATCATAGCATTTGTACATCTTCCTCCTTACATTATATCCCATCATATATCAAAGTTATAACCAATATGCAAAAAGGTATATATATATATAAATTATAAGTCTTATTAATTGAGCCCTGCCAGTGTTGTCAGTTGCTTGCAATTGTCCTTCAAATATTGTATAAATTTACTCCAGTCTTTCTGGAACGTTTGATCACACTGATTACTGAGTTTCCCTGTCAGCTTTGCCAGTTCAGCATATTCTATCATCTTCATCTGCCATTCTTGTATCATTGTTATCTCCTGATGCTTCCATTTTTGAGCTAGTAAAATCCTTGCTGCAGTTGTTGCATACTTAAACAGCTTTTGGTCTTTTTTTGGGTGGGGGGATTTCTTCGTCTATTATTCCTTGTAAAAATGCTTCTGGTTTTTTAACAAACATACTTTTGTACATTTTCTTTAACTCATTATATATCATATCCCAGTAAGCCCCATGCAGAATCTTCTGGTCTTGTTAGTTTTTGCCAATATCATATGTGCAGATCCCCAGCAGTCCTCCCTAAAGTGATCAGCGCTCTCCCATTCCTGCTTCTGCAGACTGTTCACAGCAAAGTTTGTGTGTATGTGAGGGGAGGAAATCAATAGAAATTTTAAGAAGCCCCCAGTGGCTTTTAGGAGCTAGAGATAAATGAAGAACTATAGCTAATAGGAACTGGAGATAAATGAAGAACTATAGCTAATCTTTTGGGAGGCTGATGCCGTGAACGGTACGCTGTTAAAATGTGTGTCTCAGGGAATAAACACATGAATCTGGAAAACAATAGCATGTTTAAAAAAATTAATATAATATAATATAATCCCAAACCAAAGTGCAAAGCCATTGACCTCTTACTGCATTTCCCCCCTCCTTTTCCAAATTCGCCCCTTTGCAAAACATTTTTATTTCCAATTAGGAAAAGAAAAATTGCTAATTTGCTGCAGTTGGACAGAGCTGATGTCTCAATCTGCAAAGTGTCAGCGCTGTGAAAGGAAATGTTTCACACTGTGCCGGAGAGACAGAGCCGTTCTAAAGAGGGTCAGGGCACCGGGCCCAGAAACCACATTGACTGGCCACAGCGCTAAATTACTCACACAAGACAGACATTGTCTGCGGTGCCAGCGATGATGGTGGACTCACTTTCGCATTCTCCCTCTGTGCTTCCTCGGTGTGTGTCAGCGAGGGGGGAGGCGAGGAGGAGGAGGAGGAAGGGACAGTCCGAGTGAAAGGGTGAGCAGGGGACAAAAAAAGCTCCAGAACCCCTTTCATGCAATTCTTACTGTAGTTTGATTTTTAAGAAAACAAAACAAAACAGCAAAACCTAAGCTGCCTGGTTAAAGGTTATCAGAGATAAGGTGTGAAATGGCCAGACGAGAGGCACATCTTAGAAGAACAAAGCACCCAGCCCAATTTGCACAGTAGTCTTTGGGCTCAAAAGTGCGTGTGTGTGTCCGTGTGTGTTTTAATTTGGCTCTGAGTTTTTGAATCTTAGCATTCTGGTCACATTTCGAACTCTTCACTGACAAGTCCATGGATTTATTTTTTTTAAAAAAAGAAGCTATTCCCCCCCACCCCGAAATCATGGGCATCATTTTAGAGTTGGCCACATGGAGAAGCACAATAAGATTCCTTGCTCTTGGACATAACCATAGGGAAAATGCATTAAAAAAACTCCAGCTCCCCCCCCCATTTTGTTTGCATAACAGCGTCTTCAGCTGGTGAGTGTTAACAGGGTTGTTGTCAACATGGGACCAGTGAGGAACAAGAGAGAAGCATGAGTGGGGTTGGGGGAGACCCAAGATTTTCAGAAGGCGAAGAAAACCTTTATTTTGAGCAGGGGGACGAAATCTAAAAGGGCAGAAAAAAAACCAAACATCCCAATGAGAACTATGCATGCCTAGTGGGCACAGAATGTCGAATGTCTATTGGCTGGGAACATAGGAAGCTAACTTTTATTGCTCTATCTTGCTTAGCATTGTCTACACTGACTGGCAGCAGCCCTCCCAGGTTGCAGACAGGAGCTTGCTCCCTGCCCTGCCTGGAGATGTGGGAACTGAATCTGAAACAGTCTACCTGCAGAGCAAATGCTCTGGCATTGAGCTATGGGCCTTCCATGTGTGGGGAGGGTAATTTCGAGTCTCAAGCAGAGAAAGGTCTTTCCCATCTCTTGGGTCACAAACACGGTGCCCGTGGGCACTGATGTTTCCTCAGAGGTTCTCCTTGGCAGCCCCAGGGTCTCATCAGTCACCCTTCCCTCCCTGCACTTAGACTTTGGGAAGCTCAGTCTTCCTTCCCCAACTGATGGAAGATCAGACTCCCAATAAGCTTGAGAAAAGTGGTGATGCTTTTTCAGGAGTAAGTGTGGATGGATGTGCGTGGTCAGGGGGCATACATGTGCAGCTGAAGCATCAGTTTTTCCAGTTTACCCAACAACTCAATGATCCAGGTGCTACCTAATCGTTTTAACTGGATATGACATGACAGTAGCGATAGACAAATCTACTGTGGGTTTTTTATTTCTACGAGTTTCTCATTTTTCCATTCTTAAGTTCTGTTTTCCACATTTTCAAATCAGCTGGGTCCCCTCCCCAAGTTCTCATTAAAATTCATTACTTGCATTTATGTGCAATTTTCTCCTAACGTGCACATTTTGTATGCAGTTTTCCCCTAGTGCGCACTTTTTCTGCAAATCAATTGGCCTTAATATTTGTTATTCTTCGCACATAATGTAAATTCTTTTTGTGCACGCTTTACTCTGGTTTGTGCATTTTTGTACACAAAACTTGGCCAGAGAGCTGCATTGCAAAATTCAGATAAGTGGCGTGTTGCAAAGGATGGCTGCGCTTTAGTATGCATATTGCTTCCGAAAGTGAGAATTACGTAAACGAGCCTTTAAATGTGAACTGAATTGGATTTCTACCCCATCCCTAGCCTAGGAAGTGAAACTCTGATCTTCCACATGCAAGGCTTTACTGCTGAACTATATAGTCTCTCCATAAGAGCCGGATTGGGGTGGGGGAAGCTTTCGGAGAACTTAATGCCAGCTGCTGCCTATATCTCTCTTTAAAGAGAGATGGATTGCAAATGTTCAGCTATCTTTTTCTTTTTTCTTTTTCTTTTAAGCTGTGTCTAGATAGCAGTCCTGCCATATGAGAGGGTTGAAGTGTTCCATTCCATTGGAGAGAGAACAAGGATAGGTATCTGTTCTGTTTAATGCACAGGAAGCTATGAGCCATCTGAAAAGAACTCAGCTGAGGGCTGAGGGTGTAAGGGAGACCTTAATGTGTTTGGATTGTGCAGAAGGAATTCAAGATTATCAGGAAAACAAGAGGTCCTGAGGGGACTATCAGTGGAAAGTAACCCAGAACTCTGCCATGCAAGAAGGTGGGGGGGGTGGAGGTGGAGGGAGAGGTTTCTCAATAGATGTACAAAATTATTCCATATCCAGGTGGCAATCTCAAGTAATTGCTGTAGACAGCTAAATGGCTTTGCCTTTTTCCCCCCTTATAAAAACACAATATAGTTTCCGTGTCGCCATAGCTGTTTTACCAACAAGGTTATTCGTTAGTTAATTACTACACTGTTACACCCATCCCATCGCTGACATCCAGTGAGCAATGGATAAATAAAATACAATTTTAAAGTATGTTGAATTATTTTAATCAACGTATGCCTGCCCCACCTTCACAAAACAGTGCATCAAGTGAAGATAAGCATTGTGGTACTAAAGAAATAAAAAAAATTCAAAACATCCAATACATAATATGCTTTGTAAAAGTAATTACAGTGGTACCTCTGGTTACGTACTTAATTCATTCCGGAGGTCTGTTCTTAACCTGAAACTGTTCTTAACCTGAAGCACCACTTTAGCTAATGGGGCCTCCTGTTGCTGCCACACAATTTCTGTTCTTATCCGGAAGCAAAGTTCTTAACCTGAAGCACTATTTATGGGTTAGCGGAGTCTGTAACCTGAAGTGTATGTAACCTGAAGCGTAACCCGAGGTACCACTGTAAATGAATAAGCAAGCAGGCAAGCTCCTGGTCATCTTCTCGCCGTTTAGGCGCACACAACTTCCAATGTTTTTCTTTTCGCGCCTTTTAAAAAACAAAGCATCATCCAATTAATGGAAATACAAGGTTGGAACAAATTATGCCATCTAAATTTGCAACTATTCACACAAAATAACACAAAGATGGTTTCTGAGCATAAATAAAAATAATAAAACATGCAGAAAAGCCAGCACAAAAAATTTCATTAACAACCCAGCATTAATGAAAAACCTGAAGTGGAAATAGACATGGAGTCATCAGAGGATGAACCAAACACCCCAGAAGGTTGAGGACCTTGAGGAACTGGCAGGGTCCAACCTAGAACCAGCATGGAGGAGACTTGCGGACGACCCATGGAGATGTCAGAAGAGGTGGTGGAGCCACTACCCTATCTCCAAGAAGGCCAGAAAGAAAAGGTCCCAAGGGTGACATAGGATGCCTCTACTGAGCCAGTCATTGTGTGGCTTGGGGAAAAGCAATCCCTGAAATTCGTTCCCTAACAGTCGGGGTGGTCTAGGAGGCCAGAGTAGATTCTTCTTAAAGCTGTGCTGTTGCTGGAAGTGAGATAGGTCTCTGGCTCCTTGCTCTGGTTCCTCCTCCCTGCAATGCCACACATTGCCTGAACATCCTGTAATATTGAACTCTGGGCTGCTTCCTCACCTTGCCTTTGAATCATGTTTTGGACCTAAGTAGTTCCCTGTGGCTGACCTTGCTGCACCTGCAATGTTGCCCTCACTGGCAAGAGTTTTGCTAAGGGGCTTACACCTCCTGAGACTGGGCCTTTGAGGGCACCCAGTCAGGAGTGCGGTGAGTAGAACAGGTCTGTGTAAGGAGGAACTTCACCTCTTCACATCCTGCCGCATCGAGTGGCTTCCATGCCGCTGCTGCAGTTCTTTAACTTTGATTTCTGTCGCGTCATGTTCAGCAATTTCATGATCAGCTGAATCATTTTCACTGTTGTGTGGCTCACGGTTGCATTGTATTGCTGACAAAGAGACTGTTGGCTTTGTCCCTTTTGCAGTCAATTGTTCTGCAGTCCATAAACTCCTTTGTCTGAAATTAAGAAAATGACAGCGCAGTGTTGAGTCAGAGCTCACTGCAGCTCAGTACTTATGTTACGGTGAACTAGTTGGGGGAAGCCTGAGATGTTTTGCTGCCTGAGGCCGAGGGCAAGATGGCATTCCCATCTTCAAAAATCGGAAGGGCTATCATATGGAAGCAAGCTTGCTTTCCACTGCTCCAAAGTGGAGGACCTGATCAAATGGATTCAAACTACAAGAAATGAGCTTTTGACTAAACGTTAGGAAGAACTTTCTGCAGGTACAAGCTGTTCAACAGTGGAAAGAACTAGCTTAGAAGGTGGTAGACTCTCCTTTACTGGAGGTTTTCAAACAGAGGTTGGATGGCCACGTGCCAGGCATTCTTTACCTTTTTTTTTTTTAAAATAATTTTTATTAAAGTTTTAAACAAAGAAAAAAGAAAAAGCAACACACACACAAAAAACAATACAAAATTTAACAATAGAAACACACAACATAACAATTAAAAACAAACTCTCTTTTACATTCCCAATTTTGAATTACTTATTTTCTGGACTTCCTCATACCTCCCTCTTTTGTATTCCAATCTACATTATTTGTCCAGCAGTTTCTTTTCCACTTTTTAAACCCAATCTTTAATTTAATGAAATATTAAACTATATAGCTTCAGCTTTTTAAACATAATCCTTGTTCTTAATGTCATATACCTTTAAATTTTTCCCTTTTATTATCAAATTTCCATTTCTTTAAACATCTTTAATCTTAATCTTTAATCTTAATCTATCCTTAGCTTTAACCTGTACAGCTGGAAACCACTTATTTTCAATCCAACATCACTCTAACATTCCTTAATTTTGCAGTGTTTCTGAAGATAGTCTTTGAATTTCTTCCAATCTTCCTCCATCGACTCTTCTCCCTGGTCACGGATTCTGCCAGTCATTTCCGCCAATTCCATGTAGTCCATAAGTTTCATCTGCCAGTGTCAGGCATTCTTTAGCCTGCATTGAAGGCAGTGGACTAGGTGGCCCTTGTGGTCCTTTCCATCTCTACAATGGTATGATTTTATGATTCAATCTTAGCAGGTGCACAAAGCTCTTTTCAGGTGTCACACACTACCCCTGGCCCCCACCCAACCCACATTAACCACTACCAGAGGTGACTGTTTCACTTTGCCTAATGGTAGGGCCGGCCCTGTGCTTAATCCTCACTGAGGCAGACAAACTATGCTTGGGCTGCACTATCACAGGCTTACAGACTGGGAAACGTGAGGCTGAATGCTCCTCGATCCAGACAAAACAATCCCTTGACCGTAGAAAAATCATCCATGAGAGGGATCCTAACCCACCTTGCTCTGTGATCTGATGGCTTGCACCAATGAATGATACTCTTTCTCCCTCCCTGCGCAAAGGAGCCAACTCCTAGCGGCCGAGGTTCCTTCAGCTCCCCCCTAAAAAATTTGGGGGGGCTGGGCCCCCCAAAGTCGATGGACATTGCCATTCAAATGGTGTGGGTATGCCACATCTTGTGGTCAATTATGTGGGGTGGGGCTTATCTGCCTCCCCCATATTTTATTCAAGTTGCCCCCCCTCCTGTCCTTGCTCCAGAAGGTACAAGGTCACAATATGCTTTGCATACCTTTCCCTGCTGTAGCTTTCTGTGTTCTGCACCCAACCACCGAGACTTGCGGGTCACCCTATGAAATTGACAAATGCCAACACAAACTCTGAGAGGATTCTGTTTGGATCTTTTTTTAACAAGCTCACAAAACTGCATACATTAAGGAGAAAAAGATGCCTTAGCCATTAAGACCTCTAAAAGCATTGTAAGCTGGCCGGTTACATTGTCAAATAGCAGCACACCTATTTACGCTTAACAATATGCATGCACACAACACCAAAAACAGAGACAATTTTATTATTTCCTAAGATATGGCTCATACGATGCTGGAATCCCTTTTGTAAAATAACATAATAATAAAAAAAGACCCTGAATTAATAGAAAAATCTAATCAAAGCCTCTTTATCTTTCCAAGGAGCTGGTGTGAATTCAGAGGGGCAGCTGTATATCACGGGCCTGTGTCTCTCAAATAGATAATCAATTTCCATGAAGGCATCAATAATCATAGCCTGACGTTTATGACCCTCTGGATGGTTTATCTTTGGGGCTAAGAGGGACAGCAGGGGCAATGACAAATGCCAAGGCTGTCACGGAAGACAATTAAATGGCACAGGGGTAAAGGATTTAATATTATAGAAATATATATGAAGCAATCCAGTCCATTCATAATTGAACAAGATAGTATAAAGTATATAGGGATATAAATATGACATTTGCCTGCTTGAATAAACGCTGGCGGTTTAGCCAGGGGGATAGGCGGAGGGGAGGCGGGCCTGGAAATCTGCTCTGCGCCTGCCTTTCAGACTTGGAGTGAACTTCAGCTATCATGGTTATGGAGAAATGCTTGAACACGCATGAGTAGCGTCTGCCAGAGATTCAGGACTCGGCACACTCGAGCCGGCGCACAAGTGGAAATGGATTTAGGGCTGTGGAATTGAAAGCATATGCAGGCTGGAGCTGAAAGAAAAATGAGAGTGGGGGATTTTCATGCTCTTGGCCAGAATGAGCTTGTTTTAAAGTTTGATTTTATCAGTCGTATCTTATGCATAGTTTGTCTAGTTTTATGTGCACGCTTGGAGGTTTTTGCTAGTTAAGTAGTAATCCGGGCAGGTAGGATTGTATCCAACTGAGTTAATACTCTGAGCCGGATCCATTGACGTGATCGAAGCCGAGTTAGCCATGCCCATTCATCTCAATGGGTCTACTCCGAGTAGGACTAGCATACAACCCAGTGGAATTGAGGGATCCAAGTTGGCCATGCCTGTCATTTTCAAGGAGTCTTCTCTGAGGAGCACTAACGCCATAAGCTTTGCTTTTTTTAAAAAAAAACACAACACCTAACATTCCAGAGCATTTTTCTTTCCTTCCAATATTCCCAATTAATTGGCGAGTTTATAGTTAAGGATTTGGCAACAGAGCACAGGAAGTGGAGAATCACTGTACATAACTAGTTACTACTTCACATCATTGACTCTCGTTCATCCTTAAGAATTTTTAAAAGTATCCCCTGGACTCTAGTTACAAAAATGTCCTTTAAAAATTGTGATTCCAAAGGTTTTTGTGTGTGTTTGTGTGTGCATGTGTTCATGAATTCTGGAATTTTTTTTCTCCTGTGCACAAGGTAGCAGCATTTCATCCCAGCACCAAAGCAAGTTACGTAAGGAGAAAAGAGAGAAGGCAGTGGCGGTTCTGGTAGGTGGTGACTTGTCAGCATCTCCTGGACTATGTGCAGGAGACTTAGCTGTCCGCTGCCTTTCCCATTCCCCCCATGATCCAATGCAGTTTTCAGCTCAAGCAGCATACCATATTATCCATACTGTAGTTGGGTGGACGAGATCTGGATGAGCAGAAAGGTCGCAGGCAGGGGGAATGTGTCAGAAAATGAGCAGAGAGAGACCGAAAAAGAAACAAGGTCATGGGAAGCTTTTGAAGGTGAGGGCGAGAAGCTAAGGCAGGTGCGGAGGACAGAACTGGCAGCTTCTGGGAACTACAGGTGAGGAGAGTTACTATTTCATTGACCTATGTGAAAGCATCACAGGTTGGCACAGACTTGGTTGCTCTCTGTAGCTGCCTTGGGGGGTATATATACATATCATTATAATAAACAAGTGGAACCCAAATTTATACATAGTGTCATTTTTTGAAGGTCCCCCTGGGCTTAAATTTGGAATGGTGGTCTTGGGGAGTCTAAGCATGCTCACCTTGTAGTTGTTGTATTTCTAAAGCAGCGGGTGAAACCAGTAGCAGAGCTTTGGATAAGTCCAGCAGCCTTATTACAAGGGGGAGACTATGCTGCTATGCCTCCAAAATTCAAAACCCAAAGGCTTGGCTCACATGCGTAGCGCAGTTGGTTAGAGCGTGCTGTTAATAACACCAAGGTTGCCGGTTCGATCCCCGTAAGTGATAGCTGCATATTCCTGCATCGCAGGGGGTTGGACTAGGTGATTCTCAGGATCCCTTCCAATTTTAAAAAAGATTATATGATTCTATTACAAGCACTTTGTTCTGCCCTTTGCTTCTAGCTCTGGGTCCAAATTTCCATTACATTCTTCTTCTCCTTTTTACTTTGGATGAGCTGGAAATGGTTTCTTCATTCTTTAAATCTGCGAGCTTAAAAAAAAAATATGCAGAGAAAATTTGGACACAGCTACAGGGCTCGTCCTGCTGAAGGCTGAATTCCCTTGGGAGAATATGGTGGGCATATCTGAAGCCAACCGTTGGCAGGGCCAGAGTAAAAAATGTTAAGGCGTCCCCTTCTCGTTCTCTCCTTCTCTTGTTGACACCCCCTTTCTCTCTTTCTTTCAATCCCTTCTCCCCTTTTCTCTCATTATGTCACCCCTGCTTGCTTACTCTCTTTCTCTCTCTTTGACACCCCTTTTCTTTCTGACACCTCCTTCTCTCTCCCAAATGGCTCACTCGCAGAGAGCTCTTGATATTAGGCTGAAGGTCACATGCAGATCTCTGGCAGCAGGTTGCCCATCTCTGCGTTAGGATGTCAAACACAGAGACTGAATATTCAGGAGACATGCAGCAAATGTAATATTGGACCCAAAGCTGTCCATGTGCTCTTGGAAAAGTTTTCCAACTTAGAGGGAAAGCTTTGTGGGATAAAGGCAAGGGCTGTAGCTCATTGGTAGGGCACATGACATTGTATGTTCTCGGGCTTCCAAAGGCATCTTAGTTGGTGCCAGTTGGAAACAAAAGTTCTGGATTATGAGGATGTTGGTCTCTTCTAGCATGACACACATTAAATCCTTATTACTTTATGTTCATTGTGGAACATCTTCTACTTGGACACTTGCCAGTGTTCAGATCCAACCAAACTATTGTTGTTTTCCTGTTGAATGCAACTCTTTCCAGATGAAAATTAACCTCCAATACAATGGCTGAAAATCTTGATCAAGGGCTACAAGGTCTTCCCAGTTTGTTTGCACATTCATTCAGAGGTGCCCATCTTTCAGCGCCTTGATTAAGGCTATTCACAATCCTGGAAAAGTAGCTGAATGTCTGTGGTTCTGCTATGTTCCTTGAATGCAGCTTTGCAGAAAATTCAACGCTGAGTATTTATTTCAGTGCCTTTCTGACTTTGCTTCCTTCTATTATGCCAAAAGGAACATTGATGGTAAGAGATGCATCTCTCTTTCTGTCTGCGCAGCGTTGCCAAAAGGCACTTCTGTTTATGTCTTAAAACTATGACCAATATTTCATGGACACCACAAATGTTCATAATGCAGCCAGACGCTAGAGAGGAAATTTCTTTACGCTGTTGAAGAGGGTTTATTAAAGTACATTTTTTGGATTGAGGCATCCAAAATAAATAATCATTTATCTGAAGGCAGCCAAATTCTATGAATGGCCAAAAACTTTGGACGCACCACCAAGGAAACTCTTGCTAATATAGAGCTCAAAGCATAATAAAGTACTTGTGAATTTGGCAGTCTCCCAGCCCCACAGCCGAAATCTTTGCCGGCGGCAACAGCGGAAAGCAAATCCATATAAAGGAAAACCTTCTCCAAGTCTTTTCAGTAGTGCTGAACCTAAAATGGGGGGAAAGATTTTATGGAAATATGTGACAAAAACTAACCATCTTCTTTTTGAGCTGCACATACACTCCAGTTTAATCTAGAAGCAATGGAGGCTAAGTACTCGGTTTTTTCTACCATAGTTATACGCATTCTAGATGCATTACTTTTTTTGCTCTGAAAATGTTTCCAAGAATTAGAGAAAACTGTAGAGCTTGAAGGAACCCCAAGGGCCATCTGGTCCCACCCCCTGCAATGCAGGCATCACAGCTCTTGAGAAACCGGTTTCATTGCAAAAATAAAAGCACACTGTAGAGGAGTCTGCGCCACCCGGCAGCGGGTCCATTTGAAAACAGATGTAAGCAGTTCCAGCAATGGGGGCTGTATCCACACCTGCCCATTGACATATTCCTTGTGGTTAGCAAGGTCTACAATCAATCTAGCTTGAAAGCAGTATGTTGAGGACAAGTACTAGGAATTCTGGATTGGGGCAGGGGTGCCACTGCATTTTGCACTACAAACAGGTTGGTGTGCATGCAGCCTTTTCAGGTCACTTTTCAGAGATAATTGCAAAATAACTTTAAAAACAGGGTGCTAGAATAATTCCTGGCTGACTAGGATCACTCATGTAGTGAGCTTCATTCATCACCTGGTGCCTTTATGCAGTCTTGCAGATTCCTAAATGGTATTAATCACACCAACATGATCGCAGTTTCTGCACAGTATCTTGAAGCTGCATTCAGGGCTGCCCCGCAAAATGAGCCCTAGCTGTTGGGCACACCAAGACTAGGGAAGGCAAACCCACCAATGTGTAAAACTGACCTATGGCTGGTTAAAATAACCACCACAAGGACATCAAACCTCAGGAACCTGCATCTCATTAGCAGAGATGCAGACTGATGGTGGAATTGGCACAATGCATATGAGTAAATGTTCAGAATCTTCTATGCGGTTCCTAGCATAGGGCAAACGGCGTCTTGTTTTTATTTTGTGACTTTGGCTCGGTCTGGGTCAGCGGATCTTCATTATGCCTCACTTAGCTCAGCAGGGAAAGCAGGTTAAAAGAATGTGGCATCATGTGCTGAAGCTCACTCTCTGAACAGAGACATTCTTCGAGGGAAAGTGAAGGGGGGAAAGGGAGATTGAAACATGGGCATGCTGGTTACTACATTAATCAGTCTTCCCTTCCGGTCCTATGATCTTTCACCATCTTTGGGCTGTTGCATCAACACCCGGGCAGGGACACCTTGACCACAGTAGTCCATAACTGACAATCTCAAGGCTGGATTACTGCAATGTGCTCTATGTGCAGACTTGAGCCTGGTTAGCACGCTTCAGCTAGTATAGTGGGCCCTCTAGAAATGAATTTAATTCATTCTGGGGGTCCATGCACACCCCCAAAAAATTCGCACCAGGGGAGCCCTTCTGTGCATGCACGCGGCGCGATTGAGCGCTTTTGTGCATGCACACGGGGTGAAATCCCAGAAGTATACACTTCCGGGTTTGCCATGTTTGCAACCCGAGGATTACGTTACCCGAGGGTCCACTGTACAGAATACCATGGCTAGATTGGTGGTGTGGGCAGAGTACCATCAACATGTGACACCAAACAGAGAAAGCCTAGACTGCCTTTCCATCTGGTACTGGGCTAGATGAAAGATTTTTGCACCAGTGTGCAGAGCCCTGAATGACTTGGGCCTACCTTACCCAGGTATAGACGACCTATCTGAGGAAGCACTAGTAGTGGTCCCCCATAGTCTCGGGTTAACAAGGACCATGCCTTCATTGTATTGGGCCCAACTCTATCCAGTTCCCTTCTATTAGGAATCAGGCAGGCACAGTCCCTACTAAGTTTCAGAGACCAGGTTAAAATAATTTTATTTCAGGAGACCTTTAGCATTACGAATACTTCTGTTTGGTTTTTCAACTTTCCAGTGTTTTAATCTCTGATACAAAGGTATGGTTTGGGGGTGCTTGTTTTCTTTTTGATCCTTTTTGGGGGGGGGGAATGGTCGATTTCTTCCATGTTTCACAAGTCCACAAAGATGCATGAAATAACCCAAGGGAATCAAAACAACAGCAAAAAAAAAAAAAAAAGTGGGAGGGAACACCACATTATGCTTCTTGAATTTTATTGTGCTGACGATATGAACAATTCATTTTCAGCTTTGTAATCTTGGGGGGTGGGAGGTGCCTAAACATTGCATTGTGGTGACTGTAACCTGGTCTTAAGGCTCCATGTGGCACCTAGTTTATATATGTGAGTTCCTCGCACTGGGTGTATCCAGGATTACCTTATTTTTCTATGTATAAGACGCCCCCATGTATAAGACGGCCCCTATTTTTTTTAACCCAACATTAAGAAATTAAGCTGTTTAGCTGTTTTGGGTGGTGGGGGAGGTCACTTCCTTCCAATCGCTCACCCGCCTGCTCACCACTGCCAATCGCTTGCCACAGCCACTGCCAATCACACACCTCGCCGTAGCCGCCAATTATCTACCTACTCACCGCCACCAACAACCCACCTGCTCAATTGCCACAGCCGCCAATCGCCTGCCCAATTGCTGCAGCTGCAGCCAATTACCAGCTGGCCTTGCCACAGCCACCAATCACCCGCCCAATCGCCACTGCCAATCTCCTGTTTGCTGCTGTCATTAATCACACATCCCCCCTCTGCATTCACTATCCATGTATAAGACGACCCCCAATTTTTGCCTATTTTTTAATAGCAAAAAGCATCGTCTTATACACAGAAAAATACGATAGTCCTCCTCAGATTAGATCCACTGAAATTCATGAATCTAAGGTAGTTGTGTCCATTAATTCCAATCTTACTCTGAGTAAGATAGCATTGGATACAACCCATGTCCTAGAGTCTCTTAGTGGTTAGTCACACTTACCTTTCCGCTGCAGTTTCGAGACATGGTCTATGCTTTAAAGCTCTGTATCTAAACGTTTGTGGGGTTTTTTGCTCTGGAACTTTCCCTGCAAAAATGTACTCCTTGCCGCTCAATTAAGAGCAAATGGCAATGCGCAGAAATGCAAATTGTCATTTGTTGTGTTTCAGCCTTAAACAGTGGGTTTTCATGGGGAAAGTTCTGGGACAAAAAGGAGAGAGCTCAGGTGCAGAGCTTTAAGGCATTCATCTGTGCATAGAATGTGTGGGGCAAAAGGTAGGGGTGGATAAGCTCTTATTTTGAACTGCAAAGCCTTAACAAAACAGAGTTCTGGAGACGGGTATTCCACAATGAGCACAGATTGTATGTAACATTTTAATGGCTCCAGAACACATTAATTCCCACCCATGGAAGGCATTGTCATCCCTTACAGAACTGGTCTCCCGGAATTCCTGTCTCAAGAAAAAGCGACGAAATTACCACCCACTCTCCGTCGTCTGGCGGATGAAATAAAATATTGGGTCTTTCCAAACATAATATTATCATTCCAAGCATAATATTATCAAATTGTGCCCAAGATTGTTTCAACAGCTCTTAAAAGTGAACTCACCTGGTACCCCCATCTGTTCAGATAAAACAACATTGTGCACTTTCTTAAAAATAGGAAAGCGATTATATGCTTATGACGAAAGTTAATCCATGGAATTGCTGTGTTAACCTTTCTCTGGAGTGAATATCAATGGCCCACTATTAGTTCAGAAGAAAGGAAGAAATGGGACTCTGTTTAATTCCCTCTATTGTTTCTTTCCCCTGTTCAAAACGATTACTGCCAGCAGTCATTCTCTCCCAAGTTAACATGTGTTTATATATATATCCTGTTTTTGAGCAGCAGAAGTCTTTACGATGTTGTGGCAAAACAATACCACAATTTGCCTGTAGAAAAAAAATTGCGCTGAACATTAGCTTATGCAAGAATGCTGCATATATTTTCACGTACCTCTTAATAATTTGAGTTTTCCATGGGATTAAGGCTGCAACCCTAAGCATACAGCAGCCTAGTTCTCTGCAAATTCTTCCAGAAAAGAAGTATTCTCTCCTCCTCTCACAAAACTAAAACCTGAAAGTTGTCCAGTGAAGCTGAATGTGGGAAGATTAAAAACAGATACCATGATGCACCTAGTTAAACCATAGGCCCAAACTGCACTACATATTTAAAACAGTATCATGCCACTATAAACAGTCATGCTTTCCCCCTAAAAAGTCCTGGGTATCACAGAATCATAGAGTTGGAAGGGACCATGAAGGTCATCTAGTGCAGCTCCCTGGGCAGGCATCCCCAACCTTTGGCCCTCCAGATGTTTTGGCCTACAATTCCCATGATCCCTAGCTAACAGGACCAGTGGTCAGGGATGATGGGAATTGTAGTCCAAAACATCTGGAGGGCCAAAGGTTGGGGATGCCTGCCCCTGGGGCTTGAAACCCACAACTCTGAGAGCAAGAGTCTCATGGTTTCCCAACTGAGTTTGTTAAGAGTTCTGGGAGTTGTTAGGAGACCCTTATTCCCACCATGGAGCTACGATTCAATGGAGCTTTCAATGAAAGTCTAGAAATCATAGCTCTCTAAGACAAAGTTTTTTAAGTCTCAGCTTTTTAAACAAGCTACAGCTCCCAGAATTCTTTGGGGGAAGCCATGACTTCTTAGAGTGGTATAATACTGCGTGAAATGTACATTGCACAATATGCTCCCTCAAGATAGAGTGATGTTTTATAGATGGTACTTAACACCTGCCAAAATAGCGAAAATATATAAAACAAAAGCAAACCTGTGTTGGAGGTGCAGTAAAGCACAAGGGACACTTGTACATATCTGGTGGACCTGTGAAAAAAATCAAAAGCTTCTGTATAGTATATGATGAACTTTAAAAAAGTTTAAATATAACTTTGTGAAAAATACAGAAGCTTTCCTATTAGGAATAACAGACACAGGTATAACAAAAGAAGATTGGAAAATATTCCTTTATGCCACAGGTGCGGCGAGGATCTTAATTGCCAGAAATTTGAAAAAAGAATTTGTGCCAACAAAAACGGAATAGCAGGATAAATTATTAGATTATACTGAACTGGCCAGATTAACAGAGACAATTAGGGGTCAACCCAGACAAGAATTTCGAAAAGAATGGGGAAAATGCAGAAAATACTTTACCAAACAGTGCCCCAATAGATATACCTGGACTTGTTTCGATTAATTTCTATGGGAGACTTTGTGGTTTTTTTAAGTCATAACTAGGGAAAATTGTAATAATCACATATAAAAGAAACAGTATACAAGAAGTAAATAAGGAGGGCATTTACAGGATAAAGGGAGTCTTTTATTTTTATGTTTGTTTTCTTTATGTAAGGGGATAGGAGTTTAATTTCAATAATTAAATTGTCAATGGTGGTGGGTTTGTTTGTATGTATGTATGAGTTGTTGTGGACTATGCTGTAAATAAATTATTAATTAAAAAAAAGATAGAGTGGTGGCCATCACATTGGACAGGTTTAGGACGGGATTAGACAAATTCATGAATGGTAAGGTAATCACTGGTTACTCCTGTATCAGAGGCAATATGTCTCTGAATTCTATTTGCCAGAAAACACGAGTAGGTCTGTGCTACTGCATTCATGCTTGTGGGTTTCCCATACACATCTAGTTGGCCCCGTGAGGCAAAAATTCAAGTCTACACCAGGACTTGTAAGTTCTTAAGGAAGTTCTGCTTTATTGAAAACCCTCCCCGCCCCTTAGCCTTAGTCGGAAGCAAACCCCATTCCACTCAATGGGCTTTGCTTCTGTTTGGCCATTTCCCCCCACCACTGTGTTTGAAACTGTAAGAGACACTCTCCATTAATATACCAGGTACAGATCTTCATTTTCACCTTGCTGGGATGTCTCAACATGACAGATGCTGAGTACCTGTCACCCTGTTCCAATTCAGCGTGGGGTTTGTGGGTGGGTGTTTTTTTTTTCTACTTCACCTTTCAGGATGCAACTTTATTTTCTTCCACGGCACTAATGGGGGTCATTTTTCTCCGTCTAACAGGCAGACTGACTAAGACCCTGTCATGTTAAAGTGACATTTGGCTCGGTGGCTGGTGGGTCTCAAACTGACATATCCCATCCTTTCTGTCAGGGCACCAGGAAGGGTTATGTTCCCAGACAGTGTAGGAAAAATAACCAGCTTTCCCCCTGGACTCTAGCAGTGTTTAAAAAGGCGGATGTTTCATGTGTCTTTTCACCACATAGGTGGCTGACTTAAGTGGCGAGATTGGGGGGGGGCGTGGAATACCTTTTCCATAGCATTAGCACAAAGCAAAGTAGCATAGCAATCCTGCGCACATTTTACTTATGAGTTACTCAACACAGCAGGGCTAATGTCTCAGGAAAATTGCATAGGATTGGGCTGTAAAGTGCTAGCATTACTACACTCCCTAAGAAGAGAGAAGGTTTAGCCACCAAAGAAACTTAGAAAATGTCCTTTGGCTAGGGAGGCTCCCCTGTAAATCTGTTACTGGCTTTATCAAAACCCGGCTTTATTGGGCGCTGGGTCCCTCACCCTTCACTTTGAGTTGAATTAAAGGTAAGACCCAGTATCAAAGCATCCCCCCTCCTTTCAGAAATTTCGCTAGCCATCTCAGCTCCTCACAAAATTCTGACATCTTTCGTAAGACTCATGGAGAGCCTTTCAGGTCTACCAGTGTCCTAAAGAAATAAACAAGCTAAGTGGGTCAGTTGAATTGTTATTCCAGCCACACAATACAAATTGGGCCCACACTGACAGGGGAGCATTTTCAAGGTCCCTTTGGAAACCCCCAGTTTTGAGAGTAAAGTGTACATATCTCATTTGAAGAAATAACTGCCAAACCCAGCCAGATGGGCGGGGTATAAATAAATTATTGTTGTTATTGTTATTGTTGTTATTATTATTATTAACATTTCATTAACTTCAGGGCAGTGAAGCCCCTCTTCCCCATTCAACACTCCTTGTGAGTGAAGAATGAAAGCTGAACGCTACCTTTTAGCAAGATATATCTAACCTGGATCTGCCAATTATCGCTGTCTCCCTCACTCCCTGTGCATTACCATTACAGAAGATATATGGGCAGCCCTTATTTACTTATGATTATTACAGATCATCTTAACAAAC